CCAAGACTGGGCTGAAGACCTGCTAGGCAGGAAGTCAGTGTGTGGCACCCATGGCAGGAAGCAGTTTGGGCATCTCCCATGGAATCCACAGTGCAGGGCACCGTGCCCTCCAGTTCCACAGGGTCCATAACAGTCACTGACACTGCACTTGCTGAGCTGGCACAGGGTAAAAGTCCCCACATGTTTCTTTTTTTGAGACGGGATCTCACTATGTAGTTCAGGCTGGCCTTAAACTCACTATGAGCCCAGGCTGGCCTCAAACCCATGGTGATCCCCCTGCCTCAGCCTCCCCAATGCTGGGATCATAGCATGCACCACCACAGCCGGCAGCCCACCTATTCCTTAGGAAGGGGACGGGGCATTAAAATCCTCATACCTAATCTGCATAATTAACAGTTTGTTGTACCCAACTTTATGAAATTCTGCTTATGTTTCTCATTATAGAATGGTGGATGGACAGATATTTCTCTACAAATCTTTTATCTGTCACCTTTTTATTGTTATAATATGAATCCCTGAATTGGTCAGTGACAATGTCTTACACGGATTTAGAATCACTTCCACGATTATTTGAACAAGCAATGTACAGAATGACTGAATATTGATGAGTGCTGAAAATGCACTCAACTCCTGTTGGATTCAAATAGTGCAAATTAACATGAGGGTCGGCTTTCACCTATAAAAATGGCAAATATATTGTAGAACAAGAGCAAGTTGTTAGGGTTTTCTAAGCTGTTATATGTAAATACAGCCTTTCTGGAAATTGTAGGTCAAAATATATAGTATATTTAAGGAAAATATTATCTTTCTTTAGGATTTCCTTTGAAAATACACTACATGGCCTGAGTTGTGTTGAACAAGAAATATTTTAAGTAGAGACTCCATTTTGCATTCAATACATTTTAACTAAGCACTTACTATGTGACTCGTGCTGGTCTACAAAGGGGAACAAATTTCCTGCCTTCATGGAGTCCCTGAGGGCCCAATCCCAAATGAAACCTGACTCGCACGGAAGGAAGCATCACTGGATAAAGCTGTAGCAGTGGCCGTTACCATCCAGTTCAGTGTGAGCTTATGTATATATGTAAAGCACATATTTAGATGCCTGAGGAAGGTACTCTGAAAAAGTATCTTTTGGTTTTAATGCTGCTAATATGTTTCTGGTAAAGCTAAGGGTATCTGAGTTTGTTCTTTTTCGTGTTTATTAGTAACTGCCTGCATTCTGCAGTAGTATGTATTTGAAAACTGAAGCTAACTGACGTCCTTTGATCTTTAAGGATCTGAGTTTTCCACAAAAGACAGCCAGCAGTTTCTCCTGTTGAATCACATTGCTGAAATCTTCACTCAGAAGCAAGACATTGGCAAATGACTTATTTGTTTATCAAGCAACACAGAATCACCTGAAAATATCATATTACCTGAATTTATTTTCTTTTACAATTACAATTACAAACATTTTCCAGTGAAATTATTTGAGTCTAATAATCTTACAGCATAGTCAGGTCATGAATAACCATTCCTGTCTTACAAATGAGAAAAACTCAGATTTCAGATAATTTGGCTGTGGCTGAAAGACCCAAGAAAAGTAAACAGTGAGACAAGAACTAGAATTTTGAGCCTCTGGAAGTTCATTTCCTACCAAGTACGGTATGAGAAAGCCAGTCATCAAATCTGACGAGAATCCTGACAGTGAAATTCCACTTGATCGATGGCACTTGCACTCTCAGAATTTGACATAGCGCCTGATGGGAAAGTTTCTTGCACCCTGGCTGGTCAAAGAGTGAGGGTTTCAAGCAGGGCAAATCTCAAATGCTGGGATTTGGAAGTGTCTCTTCCTCCGCTGGATCCTAGTGTTTGCACAGGGGTCCAGGGACTTTCGCCATTATTTTGCTCCTCTGAGACATTTTCAGAACCAGAGACTGGACTCAACACACCCAGGAAAGCGACCTGAAGAAGTCCTCTTCAAGGGAGTTCCTTGATTTAGCTCATTCTGAAGCCGACACCATCCTAGATTTTCATTTCCTTGTTTTAAGCCTTTTACTGTAAGGTGTTCTGGTGCTTGTGATGAACAGTGCCTGGGACTGGCTTGTCAGGTGTCAACATCTCAGCCTGCTCTCAGCTCCGTGATCGGCTCCCAACTCTGCTTCCTGGCTGGAGCCATCCTCACTTCTGCCTCTTCCTCCATTTCTGAAGTGTCTTGTGTGCAGTCCTGGTGCACCGTGCTGTTCAGATCTCTGCAAGCGTCTCCACCTGCGTCCCTCCTCTAAGGCTGTCTCCTTCCTTTGTCTACTTATCCTCCAAAACATTTTCCTGTACAATGTCAAGACCTCCCAAACAGTCTCCCAGCAGACTCAGACCCACCTGTGTGCAGATGGGAGACCTCACCAAGCACTGACCCCACAGCACCCAAGTCACCTCTTCCCAGCTGGTTAGAAACTCTTCAGAGAGCAGGATTTGTGTTTTGTTTTGTTTTGTTTTTGTATCACCAGTACCTGAGCTAGTACTTGTCAATGTTCAAATTGGCTGAATTAATGAAAGTATTAGGTAACAAAAGAAAAAACCTTATTCTATCACAGGACAAAGTTTTGCTTTGTTTTGGTCTGGTTTTGCTTGTTTTGAGTTTTTTTGGTAAGAGCTAGGAAACACAGTGGATGTAATTACTAAGAATTTCCACAGTTGGGTCATTTTTAACCCATCAGTAGACAAGTGATAAGAGAGGATGCTTCACTGCTGCTGGGCTCCCTCCTCTCCTTACTCACCATTAGTCACCAGAGAAGCGAGCAAGTGGCCCTGAACGGATCCTGCATCATCACATCAGAAAATTCTCAAAACAGATGATGTACGTGGTAATGCCAAGTTTCCTTAGACCGAGTACGGAAATATAAAATGAAAAGAGGTGGAACTTGAAGGGTTAAATGGTTTTATAGTGCTTGAAAAGCATCTTAGACTCCTGCCTCCACTACCAAAAGGGCCCTGTGTGACATCTGGGAAGGAGCGCATCTGATGACATGCTCTTTTTCCTAAGTGTTTTTCTAGAACCTGGACTCTCCACGCCTGGGATGTTTAGAAAAGCTTGTGGGAAACTTGGAGAATGTCACCAGTAGCAGGGCGTCATTTCAGAAGTGGGTGGGGGCCAGACCTCTGTCCTTTTAGATGACCTGATATTTTTTTCACAAAAGACCCACAGTAGAGGAAAAGTCATAGTGAACTTTTTTTCTGACCAGAGAAGCTTGCCAAGTCTGCCTCTGCATGTTCTAAAGTTGGTTTTGGCGCACTCTTTGTTAACCACCTAAGTGTCAGTCAGTGGCCTTCCTCACAGGAAACAGATGGGCCAGAGTTTATTTACAGAGACAACTGACCACGGTGTGAGTGGAGTTTAGGAAACGGCCAGGACCATGCAGAGGCCCAGAGCACGACACACCATGATTCTCATTCCCTTCTCCCCCACATCCATGGAAGAGGTGGGGACAGAGGCCACCTGGGGAGGAGCAGGTGGTGTCCCCATGCGGGGGACCCCGGGCTCAGCCCCTGAATGCCACCACTCCCTAGTTCCTGCCTTCTCGGAGCGCCCTTGAAGGAAGCCAGGGGCCTGGAAGGCTCTGCTCAAGCACAAG